TTTTGCTCTTGTTACCCAGGCTGGAGTGCAATGGCGCTGTCTCGGCTCACCGCAGCCTCCGCCTCCTAGGTTCAGGCAATTCTCCTGCCTCAGCCTCCTGAGTAGTTGGGATTACAGGCACGCGCCACCTTGCCCAGCTGATTTTTTATATTTTTAGTAGAGACGGGGTTTCACCATGTTGACCAGGATGGTCTCGATCTTTTGACCTCGTGATCCACCTGCATCGGCCTCCCAAAGTGCTGGGATTACAGGCGTGAGCCACCGCGCCCGGCCCATGGAGTTAGTTCTTATGTTTAAATCTTAAATCCATCTGGAGTTAATTTTTGTATAAGGTGTAAGGAAGGGGTCCAGTTTCAGCTCCCTGCATATGGCTAGCCAGTTTTCCCAACACCATTTATTAAACAGGGAATCATTTCCCCATTGCTTGTCAGATTTGTCAAAGATCAGATGGATGTAGATATGTGGCATTACTTCTGAGGCCTCTGTTCTGTTCCATTGGTCTATATCTCTGTTTTGGTACCTGTACCATGCTGTTTTGATTACTGTAGCCTTGTAGTATAGTTTGAAGTCAGGTAGGATGATGCCTCCAGCTTTATTCTTTTTGCTTAGGATGGTCCTGGCTATGCAGGCTCTCTTTTGGTTCCATATGAAGTTTTAAGTGTTTTTTTCCAGTTCTGTGAAGAAGTTCAATGGTAACTTAATGGGGATAGCATTGAATCTATAAATTACTTTGGACAGTATGGCCATTTTCACAATATTGGTTCTTCCTAACCATGAGCATGGAATGTTTTTCCATCTGTTTGTGTCCTCTCTTATTTCCTTGATCAGTGGTTTGTAGTTGTCCTTGAAGGTATCTTTTACCTCCTTTGTTAGTTGTATTCCTAGGTATTTTATTCTCTTTGTAGCATTTGTAAATGGGAGTTCCCTCATGATTTGGCTCTCTGTTTGTCTGTTGTTGGTATATAGGAATGCTTGTGATTTTTGCACATTGATTTTGTATCCTGAGACTTTGCTGAAGTTGCTTATCAGCTTAAGGAGGTTTTGGGCTGAGACGATGGGGTCTTCTAAATATATGATCATGTCATCTACAAATAGGGACAATTTGACTTCTTCTTTTCCTAATTGAATGAGCTTTATTTCTTTTTCTTGCGTAATTGCTCTGGCTAGAACTTCCAATACTATATTGAATAGGAGCGTTGAGAGAGGGCATCCCTGTCTAGTACCAGTTTTTAAAGGGGAATGCTTCTAGTTTTTGCCCATTCAGTATGATACTGACTGTGGGTTTGTCGTAAATAGCTTTTGTTGTTTTGAGATACTTTCCATCAATACCTAGTTTATTGTGAGTTTTTAGCATAAAGGGCTGTTGAATTTTGTGGAAGGCCTTCTTTGCATCTATTGAGATAATCATCTGGTTTTTGTCTTTGGTTCTGTTTATGTGGTGAATTACGTTTATAGATTTGTATATGTTGAACCAGCCTTGCATCCCTGGGATGTAGCCTACTTAATCGTGGTGAATAAGCTTTTTGATGTGCTGTTGGATTCGGTTTGCCAGTATTTTATTGAAGATTTTTGCATCAATGTTCATCATGGCACTTGGAGGCTACAGAGAGCCATGATTGCACTACTGCACTCCAGCCTAAGTGACAGAGTGAGATGCTGTCTCAAAAAAAAAAAAAAAAAGGTAAATCAAGGTAGACTCATGAGAGGGGAGCACATCTTTAAGACTAAAGTTTTTAATCAGGGGCTCTATATTGTTTTTATATGTCTAATTATATCTAATAATATCTTTAACTCTATATCCCAGGCGCATAATGGAGGTCTGACTTAGACTCAGATCTGTGAAGTACTGGGCAGCATTGCCCTCCCCTGGAAAGTTGACCCTTGCTCCTCTCTGACCTCCACATTTGCCCAAGCCGTTGAAGTTCATAGAACATCATAGGGATAAAGCGCATTCTATGGGGGCATTTTTTTAACTTTTTGTTTTAGAGATAGAGTCTTGCTCTGATGCCCATGTTAAGAGTGTGGTGGGTTGATCACGGCTTACTGCAGACTTGACCTCTTGGGTTCCAGCGATCCTCTTGCTTCAACCACCTGAGTAGCTGAGACTATAGGTGTACACCTCCATGCCCAGCTAATTTGTAAAATGTTCTATACAGACTGGGTCTCACTATATTGCCCAGGCTGGTCTCAAACTCCTGGTTACAACCGTCCTTCTGCCTTGGCCTCCCAAAGTGCTGTGATTACAGGTATGAGCCACTGGGTCTGGCCCTCATTTAGTTCATTTTTACAACTTTTTTGAAAAGATCATTCATTTCAGATAGATGAAAATTTTATTTGGGAACTTCCAAAGAATAATATTGCTCAAACAACCCACTGCTTTATTCCACTTGCTGTAAAAGACAAATAAGGCCGGGTGCAGTGACTCACACCTGTAATCCCAGCACTTTGGGAGGCCGGGGTGGGTGGACCACAAGCTCAGGAGTTCAAGACCAGCCTGACCAATATGGTGAAACCCTGTCTCTACCAAAAATACAAAAATTAGCCGTGTGTGGTGGTGCGCGCCTGTAATCCCAGCTACTCGGGAGGCTGAGGCAGGAGAATTGCTTGAACTCAGGAGGTAGAGGTTGCGGTGAGCTGAGATCGTGCCACTGCACTCCACTGCCTGGGTGATAGAGCAAGACTCTGTCTCAAAAGACAAATAGATCATGTTCAGAATTCCTTATGCTGTGGCATAAGTTGGTTTCCTTAGTGGGCATTCAGGCCACATGATCATTATCCATTTTTGATTAAAGCCTGAATTTTTTATTTTCTTTCTAAATTTTATGGGAGTGGGTGGATAGTCCTGGTAATTTTTATTCAATTTCTATACTCCTTTAAAACTTAGATAGAAGGAAGTGACTTCATATAAAAGTCCTGGAATTTAGTCTTCTGATAGCAGAGAGCATAAAGTGGAAGCAGAATTTTAGATTTGGGACCTGTTTGTAGATTTGTCACTCTCTCTGATGGGCTGTGTGGCCATGAGTAAGTGACTTCACCTCTCTGGTCTTGATTTCCCTCCTTCCTTCCTTCCTTCCTTCCTTCCTTCCTTCCTTCCTTCCTTCTTCTTTCTTTCCTTCTTTCCTTCCTTACTTTCTTTCCTCTTCTCTCTCTCCTTTTCTTTCTTTCTCTTTCTCTCTTTCTTTCTCTCTCTCTCTCTCTCTCTCTCTCTCTCTCTCTTTCTCTTTCTTTTCTTTCTTTCTTCTTTTTCAAGATGGAGTGTTGCTCTGTTGCCCAGGCTATACTGCAGTGATATAATCTCAGCTCACTCAAAACTCCACCTCCCGGGTTCAAGTGATTCTCCTGCCTCAGCCTCCTGAGTAGCTGGGACTACAGGTGCCTGCCACCATGCCCAGCTAATTTTGTATTTTTAGTAGAGACGGGGTTTCACCATGTTGGCCGGACTGGTCTCAAACTCCTGACCTCAAATGATCCACCTGCCTTGGCCTCTTGAAGTGCTGGGATTACAGACGTGAGCCACCACGCCCAGCTACGGTTTCCTTATGTATGAGTGAGGTAGCGAGCCTACAGGATCTAAGTGGTTTCTTTCAGTTTAAAACTTATAGGTTTTTACATGGTAATCCTCCTGCAAGACTACATTGATTAAATCTGTGCTGTGGCTAAAAGATGATCTTTTGTTACAGAATTTTTCGTTACCTTCTTATGTGGAGAAATCTCCAGCTGCTCTGATGATAGCCTAAGAAGAATGCGTGCTGTTTCCTCTCGATGCCAAGCCAGGCCCACTCAGAACCTCGAATCTCAGTCCCTCATGGAGACCGGGTCCCAGCAGGAATGGCAGTGCAGGAAATTGGCACCCAGATGGTTCTTCCAGGTGAAGTTGTCTCAGACTCTGGGCTGACGAGAGAACACCCGGTAACCAGGTTAGCCCTCTGTCAGTTACCCAGGGCAGGGCAGCATGGTGCGGATTCAGAGGAGGAAGCTTCTGGCATCTTGCCTGTGCGTCACAGCCACCATCTTTCTGCTTGTCACACTCCAGGTACCAAGAATGTGGGTTGTGTAGTGTTGATAGCTGGGCCTTTGCCATGTCCTTTCCACCCCCTATTTTCTCAAAACTCCATGTCTGTCACTTTTTGCTGAAGCCTTTGGGATCAGGGGTTTTCTTTTCTTTCTTTCTTTCTTTCTTTTTTTTTTTTTTTTTT